TTACATATGTGGCCCTTGCCCCCACTTCCCCCCCCCACCGAGTCAGAGCTTCAAGCATGTCCATCCCCCAGATGGTGTGCATTGCACTCATTATGTATGTATATACCCACTCCCTCCTCCCCCCTCCCATCTGCACGACGCCCCATAAATGTTATTCCTATATGTGCACTTAGGTGTCGATCAGTGGAACCAATTTGCTGGTGAGTACATGTGGTGCTTATTTTTCCATTCTTGGAATACTTCACTTAGTAGAATGGGTTCCAGCTCTATCCAGGAAAATATGAGAGATGCTAGATCACCATTATTTCTCATAGCTGAATAGTACTCCATGGTATACATACACCACATTTTATTAATCCACTCATGTATTGATGGGCACTTGGATTGTTTCCACATCTTTGCAACTGAATTATGCCACTATAAACATTCAAGTGCAGATGTCTTTTTTATAGAATGTCTTTTGTTCTTTGGGGTAGATGCCCAGTAATGGAATTGCTGGATCAAATGGTAGATCTACTTGTATCTCTTTAAGGTATCTCCATATTGCTTTCCACATAGGTTGCACTAGTTTGCAGTCCCACCAGCAGTGTATGAGTGTTCCTAACTCTCTGCATCCACGCCAACATTTTTTGTTTTGGGATTTTTTTTTGATAAAGGCCATTCTCACTGGAGATAAGTGATACCTCATTGTGGTTTTGATTTGCATTTCCCTGATAATTAGAGATGTTAAGCATTTTTTCATATGTTTGTTGGCTGTTATTCTGTCTTCTTTTGAAAAGTTTCTATTCATGTCCTTTGCCCACTTTTTGATAGGGTTGTTTGATTTTTTCTTGCTAATTTTCGTGAGTTCCAAATAGATTCTGGTTATCAGCCCTTTATTGGATGTGTAGCATGTGAAAATTTTCTCCCATTCTGTAGGTTGTCTGTTTGCTCTCGTGACAGTTTCTTTGGCTGTGCCGAAGCTTTATAATTTGATCAGGTCCCATTTCTTTATTTTTGTTGTTGTTGTGATTGCCTTTGGGGGCTTCTTTATAAATTCTTTGCCTAGGCCAAAGTCTGTAAGAGTTTTTCCAAGATTTTCTTCTAGAATTCTAATAGTTTCACACCTTAGGTTTAAGTCTGTTACCCAACATGAGTTGATTTTTGTGAGAGGTGAAAGGTGTGGATCCTGCTTCAGTCTTCTACATATGGCTATCCAGTTTGCCCAGCACCGTTTATTGAATAAGGATTCTTTTCCCCACTCTATGTTTTTGTCTGCTTTGTCTGCTTTGTCAAAGATTAGATGGCTATATTAGGATGGTTTTATATCTGGGTTCTCAGTTCTGTTCCACTAGTCAATGTCCCTGTTCTTGTGCCAGTACCAATCTGTTTTAATTACTATAGCCTTGTAGTATAGTTTGAAGTCTGGTAAATTGATGCCTCCCATTCTGCTTTTATTGCCTAGGATTGCTTTTGCTATACGGGGTCTTCTCTGGTTCCATACGAAGCATAAAATTATTTTTTCTATATCTGTGAAAAATGATGTTGGTATTTTAATAGGGATTACATTGCATCTGTAGATCACTTTGGGTAGTATAGACATTTTAACAATGTTGATTCTACTGACCCACAAGCATGGTTTACATCCTCTGCTATTCCTTCCTCAGTGTTTCACAGTTCACCCTGTAGAGGTCTTTTACCTCCTTAGTTAAATATATTCCTAGGTACTTTATTTTCTTTGTTGCTATTGTGAAGAGCATTGAGTCTTTGATTTGGTTTTCAGTTTGACTGCCACTGGCATATATGAATGCCTCTGATTTGTATAAAATTTTATACATGTTTCCTTTTATTGAGACAAATAGTTTAAAACCTATTTCCCTTGGGAACATTTTTATTTCCTTTGTTTATTGAGATATGAATATTTTACTAATTAATTTATGTGAGTTTTTTTCCTGTGAGATCTTTATATGCCTAAAATATTAATTTCTGATTATTGATCTTGTAAATCTTATTCTGATACTTTTAAATTTAATCTGATTAATGCACTGTCTTTTGGACATACATGTTAAAAACATTTAGCTAACCTTAAAGAGATACAAGTAGAAGTACCATTTGATCCAGCAATTCCATTACTGGGCATCTACCCAAAAGAGCAAATGATACTGTATAAGAAAGACACCTGCACCCGAATGTTTATAGCAGCACAATTCACAATTGCAAAGAT